GACAGTGCGCAGGACACCCATCATGTTGATACCACATGTTTTGCCTTGTGGCGAGAGGAACATCGTGTAACAATCCGGATAAGTCCTCCTTTAAAAAATATTTCATAATTTTCACCGTTTAAATAGTTTGGCAGAAAATAAGGCCCAATTAAATTGTCGTTAATAATCCCCATCCAAACATTTAGTGAAAATCTTCTTTGTGATTTATAAGGTCTCTTTTTTCCAGGATTTCTTTGATCTTTTGGAGTCCAAAAATGTAAATTATGGTAATTTGTAATACCGTCTTGATCGAACTTCGACTCATCAGTCCACAATATTTTTCTAAAAAACATTGGATCTTCTGCATCTGCGTTCAACATAAATCTACAAAAATCCAATCTTCTAACTGGATCTCCTTCTTCCATCACATGCACTGGTGTGTAGTGGTACGGATAAAGCCCCGCAGTATGCACTGTAGACCAGACCTTCCACTGCGATACACCTAAGCGACGGGCAACTATGTTCGTGGAAGTGGTTGGATCTTCTTGAAATTTACTCAAAATTTCTTCATCTCCCGCACGCGGTATACGGGGTATGCCACGTGGCCTGCCAGCATCACGTTGTTGCCTTTGAACATTTCCAGTCCCTCGTACTCTACGATACACTGCACTAAACACTGTGACATGGGGTGGTCTGCGATTAGGGTAGCGCTGTAGGTATTCACGGCGAGCAGCTGCAGCGTCACCGTCACAATATCCATAGAGATAAAAGATATCTGCGTATTCCTCGTGGGAAAATGATTGCCTTGCATGATCTCCGCGTCTTGGTGGTTCCGCCGCCATAAAACTTTGAAACTCAACTTCTTTAGGTGTAACAGGGAGGGATATGCGCGCGTGTGTACGATGCCTGTAATACTGATGACTGATTGAACAGTTTCTTCTTGTTTAACTTGTTTCTAATTTCACACTAAATGTAAACAATAGCGTAAGTTCAAACGCACAATCTTTTACGAGCATTCCCGCAGCTGTTGATAAGGTTCCGAGAAGCGATTGTTTGGGATTACCCAAAACATTGCTACTCGGAACTTGTCTACATGACCCCTTTTTATCAAGTTTTATTCTGTACTATTTAAGTTACAAGCCAAATTGATACTTCATTAGGTAGCTAGATAAATGGGGATGTTTTTAACATGATTTGCACAATTAATCACATACAATTATTTTTCACAAAATCATTTATATTTTTAATTACTTATCTTCTGTTTGGAAAAAGTTGTACTTTTAGTAGCGTTACTTCGTAAATGATGAGACTTTTTGCACACTGTAGTATTGATAAATAAGTATCCAAGTTTTCATTAAGTAAAAATAATAAAATGAAAATAATACAGCTGTAAGTTTTTTTTTAGAAATTTTTGACACCAGACTTTTGGGATTTTTGAAAAAAAATAATTAAACCTAAATATCTCGAAATTGGTCCACATTTGCATAATGCATTTTATGGTTCATTTGATAGGTTATGACCCCAACTATCACGCCTTGGCGGGAATACGTCGAATTACCAGTAACCCTGTATAAGAAGATTAATATAATTTGTGAAGAGTGTGAAGTTTTTTATACATAATTATTAATATAAAATTATCATTTGATTAACATAAATATGTATTTTTGTGTTTTCATAGTCTCGTGCATACATCACTCCACATTACAGAGAAAAATAAGAGCGATGACAATATAAAAGGATAGAATAAAATGAATTAAAAACTAGAAACAAAGATTAATTTTAACTCTAAGCAAAAACTGTCATATATGAATATTATTAGAACAGGAATGGGCTTTAGTGAAATTCGTAGAATTTGTTTAAGCGTTAATGTACGCATGATTGTACTAAAGAAGACTGGCCTCCAAAATTTATATAAAACATTGACTAACAGTTTTATGTAGTAACAATAATATGTTAGGCATTTTTACATCTGTCGATGTTGCACTGAAAATTTTTCCATAGTCGATATGATTAAATATCTTCACCCTCATGGCAGGTGTTGAAGTTAGCCGTGTATTTAGTGTCCAGTTTAGTGTTTAAACGCCTATTGTGTGTGTGACAGTTTATACATTTAGCGCTGTTGGGCTTATCCTTGTTAGGACATTTGCTCACATCGTGCTCGGTGCTCTCGTTAAATAAGCAGGGGCTTTGGTCTTTACACTTTAGTTTTGTGTGGCCAAACTGCAGGCACTTGTGGCTCTAGAGCAATGGCGACAAACTAGCAACATGGACGCGCTGATGATAGTCAATGCTATTACGACCCCTTATGGTGGCCACGCTAGAGTTTGCATGATGGTTATAACTTTGCATGCAAAACCGGCAAGCATAACCGAGTTTCATACTACACATACACGTTAGGTTTTGCATGCACCGCCTTGTCATGAACTCTCAGTTGAGCTACGTGACGGTGTGTGTCGCCTACCTTAGTTGAGTTACGTTGTACGTGACGGTGTGTTTTTTTTCTCTCGTCTAACGTTACTGCGTAACGTATTAATTTTTTTAATCACATCATCTTATGTAGCAGTTGGCTCCAATTCCTTGGGCTTAGATATCAATTTCTCGTATGCTGTCTATCGTTTGTCTCTGTCGTGATATTCTTTACATTTTACGCGCCAAAGACAAGGTTCCGACTTATAAAGGAGAATGACCATAGATGTATGGAATCTCGTACCAAGTTGCATCAAAATCAAACTTTGTTTTTTATTGACTACACTAATCCTATTAACTCCTACAAAAGTCCTTTTTGAAAAAAAAAAACCCGGGTTTTGGAGTTATTTTACAAAATCGAAAATAACCTAAAAACCATTACGTCACTTTTTCGATGCTACCAACGACCTATTTTAAATTGACACTTTAAACATGGACAAACATTATTGCTCTAAAAACCAATAATATTAATAATCCATTAATATTTGTAAGAATTACATTTATTATGGATTACTTTGTGTTAATTGTGACTGAAACTCGGATATTTGCCCGACCTTTATACATATTGCCAATACTGTGAGTGGGTAACGTATCTAAAGGTAATATGTATATAATTGGACGCCACCGCGATTACACTACCACACCAATATCAATAATACATTATCATAAGTGTGACCATCCAGACCGAAAAAAGCTCATTGAGTCTAGAGCGTCTTTAACCCTTTAATCTAAGATATGATACTATTCATGACAGACACTATTGCTCAAGCTCATGTTGTTGTGAATCGATTAGGTAAGTGATAGAAAAAATAAAACAAACAAGTCCATTTGGGTTTTTTAATAACGATTTAAAGTCAAAAATATTTATTTAAAATATATTTACTTTAATCATTCATCATACTCCTGAAAAAAATCAACTAACGCCGTTCCCGGGGCAGTTACGTCATTATACCGTCCCCAGCTCAAATACCACACTATCGTCATTATATGAGCACAGCAGCCTACTGTTCGCTTACCGACAAGGCAGCTGCAGCAATAACCTACTATGGTTTCTAAAGTGTTGGCCACAGCATCATCTCTGCTAATCAATAAATATGTGTGATAAGTACGACTGTTGACATGTCTAGATTTAATCCTACCTCTTAAGAGGTAATTATTAAGCCCCAAAATCAAAGGTACATCATCATCGATAGTATTATTCACCTCAACTGAATAAATACCAGTCCGACGGATGTGTTCCCCATAATAAGATCTAGCCTGTTTGAGTTGGTAAGTCCCAAGAGCTAACCGTTTTAAATCAGTTATTGTCAATTGTGGAAATCCATCTAAATGTGGATTATTGCTGTCAATCAACTGAAAATTCACACTCCTTCTATTGAGATTTGCCTGTTCAACATAAGTTGCCAAATGGTTCTCTAGTGAAAGCCTATCCTTAGCAATTCTTACATATTCCATGGCTTCTGGTGGGTCTTCTATAACAGCATGAAACTTATTAATTAGGGCACATGAGATTCTAAAATCATTCTTTAGGTGCAAAACCGCTCTATTGTTAAAAACATGACGAAAGAGTCTAAAATCCCTTTTCAACTTACCACTAACCACTTCTACAACCCAGCGGCACATAGTAACAAAACGAGACTGATTTGCCTGCTGGGTTGTTAATTGATGTTCATTCTCAAATAGAGATCTGGCATATGTGTTACAAAGCCCTGGAGGATATCCCTGGAGTTCATTAATTACATCCCTAAATCCTCTATCAAGTATGAAAACGTCACCTCTTCGGAAAAATGATCTTAAAGAAGCTTCCTCATTACGTAAGTTTAAACTAGTAATTGTAGCATCATTAGTTGTCGCCTTGTATGGTCCGAGACATATCGTATCATAAATGGTTTGACCAAATTATCCAGTTTTTGCAAACTGTATGTTTGTTTTTGAAATAAGTAATTAGAACTACTTTGGATAAATACATAAGTAGCATCACACATGACTATTGCTGGTTTAGAATTAGGTGGCAAATCAGGATTACCAAATAATCCTTCTGGTATTATTCTATTTCTAGAAGCAACATCTTCAACATTCATATGATTAAATCCTAAATACAATGGAACAAACTCATTAATTAAACATGTTCTGGCCTTATTCATTAAGCGTTTTAAGGTGACACGAGATTTATTAAAGAGAGTTGCCAACCTTTCATTACTATCACCAGTTCTAAGCTTTACTAAGTAAATGCTTAAAGCAACCGTGGCATTTGGTACTTGTCCTGCTAGACTTGGAATACAGTTTAACAAATCATAAAACTGATCGGAGTTCATGCCTAACCAAAAGTGACACAAATATGTAGGCATACTTAAAATATTTGAGAAATCTATATGGTAATAGGTAGCTCGCTGCATTATTCTCATAATTGAGTCGAATTGACTACCAGTAAAATCTTAGCTGAGAAGTTAATTCGCTCCAACGGCCATGATCCAAGTGGTGACGACAGATTCGTGCTGCTGGTGGCGCATAGAATTTATTATTAAGTAATAACAGATCTTTTATAGATGAGGGTACTAGTAAACGTTCTGTTTCAAAACAATTAACAAATATACAGTGATTGGATGTGCTAGCCGCACGCTTATACACTGAAGACTTAATTGTTGGATTTGTCTAATATGAGTAGTGTGTAGGTTTTGTTGTGGAAGAGGGGGCGGCTCAGGAATATTGAGATCGCTACTTGATCCAACATCAGGCAAAATAGCTTCTGACAGACCAGGGCGATTGGAGTCTTGCTGATCACGACGTTGCAATTCCCTTGTAGCTGATCTCCAGCAAGCAGCACATACTCTTTCCAATCTTGAGATCTAAAAATAACACAATTAAACGTAATATGTAACATTTCACAATGGGATATAAACTTGATAAAAGTGTGTATTGTAATGTGATGTAATTGTTAGGGATACATTTTTTTATAAGATAGGGTGACAAACGAGCATAAAGTCCACCTGATGGTAATTGGTATTTGCTGTGGCCCATAGACATCTACATCTATTCTCGATTACAAATCAAAATGCAGATGCATTGTCACCCCTGAGAACTATGATGGAATGCCTTCTTCCCAGTAAAAAGGATCTCTGGTTCTTTACACCCACTATACGAAGCACAGCATAAGCTGCTATTTCACGATGCTATTCTGTGAGAGCATGGTCCTTACCCAGTCGAGCCTACCCATTCATGCTACAAATATACTACTAATATCGTTAATATACTACTAATTTAGTTGCAGGATGGCTCTCCACATATGATAATGATCAGGCAATAATTGTGTTAAAATAGATAATATTATCTAATACCCACAACATTATTTATTTGTGAAACCTTCACTTATTGGGACTCAATATTATTATATAAACACATCTAATTACAGTATTATAACTAAAAACTGTAGAAGACTGGAGAAAATAAGAACATTAATAAGAAGTTGATCTTTTTTTTATATTGCAACATAAATAAAAATATTTACCAGATGCAGCGGAACATGTCTAACTAAAATGTTTCTCTCTTGTCGATCTTGTCTTACAGGATATGTTCTAGTTGCACGTAGAATAGAATTGCCACACGTAAAACATATACTTCTATGACCAAAAGCAGGCAATCCTTCACTAATTGTGTTTGCTTGATCTTGAAGCAGTGTCAAACACTCTGTACAAAGCACACATTCTGAAGACAACTGCAATAAAAACCATTACTTGTCTTCAGACATTATTTGTCTTCTGTAACATCTTCACAGAAGTAACATTTAAATATGCAATCAAGAGCCTTTTTGGCCTCAAACAGGTTCGTTTTTTTGTTAATCATTTGTTATTGCCTGTGCTGTCTAAAATAAATATTTCTTTCATTCTATAAAAATGTTTTGTAAGACGGTACGATGGTAGAGATCTGACATTCTTAGGTATATATTCAAAGAGTAAAATAAGATCTGCTTACCTGAGTAGGAGTTATGCACGACTGTAACAAATTAATCATTGAAGTAGATGCTTGTTGCAATGAATGTATAGGTAGGTTTCTGGGTATCAAAAATGAACAATTGATACATCGTTTGTTATGCCGGGTGACTGACGGTGTTAATCGGTCGACTCCACGACTCGACATATTTGCACAATATACAGAAAAAAAGTTCACAAAATACTAACAAGTTCTACTTCTCAACACACAATTCAATAACTAACTAATCTCAACTCTCAAACACAGACAGTTGTATTTGTTAGAACAAAGATATGGCGTGGTCAGCACAAAGGTCAGATGCACTTTAGAACTTTAACTTTAAACGTCATTTATAAGATTTTTTATTTAACTGGTTTTACGGTTCTGGGTTCTAGCCTTTCGGAATCTTCAATTTTATATATTTTTTAAAACCGTATGGATATTGTTTTAAATGGAGCATAAAGCGGTTGAGCTGTCGTTAAAATCTCCTAAGAACTTCGCAACGTGACGCATCAGCATATTGTGAAGAAAAAATATATAAAAATGAAGATTCCGAAAGATATGATATGCTCAGAAGGGCTAGACTCCGGAGCCGTAAAACCAGTTAAATAAACATAAAAAATAATACAATATCAATATGCATACTTTTAAACTCAAATAAAATTCCCTGTTCAAAAATAAAATCCCCGGACGCGTAATGCCATAAAAATTAAGACACTAATTACTATTAAAATTTAGTCTTGAGGCGCGAGACTTTTTGGTACCACTTTTGGTCATTCTCCTTTCTATGAATTCTTCTAATGTAGTATTGCGCTTGCGACTTTACTATTTGCGACTATGATGCACGTGCGTGACTTTCCGCCGTCGCAAACAATTAAAAACAGAGAACTGTGGCAGGATAGCTCGCCGGACGCTACAAACGCTCGGTTATGCTCGCGCGCAAACATAACCGAGCGGCGGCATAAAATATCAATTTTGATATTTGCTCGGTTGCATGTACTAGCACTGATAACTGTACAGTTTAATCACATACACGCTAGGGCTTGTCTGTCGGTTATGCATACACGACTAAAACCATCATGCAAAACCAAGCGTGTGTGGCCTCCTTTAGTAACGTTTTGTTGTGCACTTTAAGGTACTCACGTTAGGTAATGCTTGTCAGTTTTGCCTGTGCAAGCAAAACCGACAGGCTCAGCCGAGTTCATAGGGCACACACACGTGACGACAAACCTGCACAAGCTCTGTCACCATCATGGCACCGGCAGCAGTGGTTGATGTCGACGTAATAGTGCTAATAGGATTATTACATTGATTTAATTATTATTTGTGATTTTGAAAAAAAAAAAATCTAAGCAACGAAGCCGTAAGAGTGGTTTAAAAAGTTGTTACAGAAGAGGAGAAAATACAACCATGTCAATTTACTAAAGGAATTAACATATTATCCGAACAATTACCATAATTATTTACGAATGGACGAAAAAACTTATCTTACGCTATTTTTTTTATTATATTATACATTAATTAAAAAGCAGGACACCATTACGAGAACCGCTATATCACCACACGAGAGGTTAACTGTGACATTGTGATTCCTTCCCACAGGACGGGCATATGAATGCTTAAAATATTCGGCCTTGATATCGCCACAAGCTTTAACGAAATTATTGTTGAAACTTGCATTACTTCGTAGCGCATTAATTTTTTTGACTACATCCTCTTTTGTCGCATTGGCCTGTAGTCTTGGTCTCTAGTTCTCTTAATTTGATTACATGTTTTTCATATGCTGCCGCTCTTCAATTTCGATGATGATACTCTTTATCCTTCAATCGCCACATACGGAGCTCCGATTAAACAACGTATAGCTACAATGGTTACTTTAATTTCACACACGGGTAGGACTAGTGACCATTAATCATATTCATTTTGATAAGTTAAAATTACTCGTAAATTGAAAAATTATTTTTTTCAAACGAACTAAATATTAAAAAAAGTAATTAAAATTGGGATCACCCTTGCGAAAATTCATTCATGAAAATACTTACCTAGCTGGTTTACGTTAACTCGAAGCGGCAACGCAGCGTTTAGCGGGCTGGCAACCGCGCAAAGTGTCTTGTTTATTAAAGAAACTTAGCGGCATCGGCGTGCCGGCGCGCGTTGTAAGTGGTACCTACAGCTACAGCGGAGATGCTTAGTCAAACACGTATATATCACACTTGAGCTCGTGTTACAATAATTGGATTAACTCATTACTAATCACTGCTTTAATTTGTCTTTATTTTAAATTTTCTTGTTTTCAATAAGACCACCTTGTTGGCAGATACAAAGAACTAAACGGCGTTTCATGTTTTCCCGCACATTTGAAAATAAATTGTCACTTATAACCATTACCCTCAATTTCTCAAACGCACTCATTTATTATTCGATGGCGTAATTGTTCCACCGAATCCACGTTCTCCGCGTATACATCCTTTTTGATGCATCCCCAGAAAAAAAATCGAGTGGCGTGAGGTCTGGTGATCTTGTTGGCCACCTACGAGGTCCAAATCTACCAATGTGCACCAAACGTGTCATTTAGGCACTGCCTGTTGTTACAGGGTGTGCAGGCGCGCTATCTAATTGGTACCACATTCGTTGGTATTGATGGACGTTTAGGTTGTTTGTGTATTCTGACACTGTATTATTTAATAGATTAACAAACCTTTCGTCGTTCAAAGCCACATCAATGAATACGGGTCCGATGATGTTGTCACCATGAATAGCTGCCCAAACATTTACCGAAAATCTGTACTGATGGGCTGACTCCCGCCGAACGCGCGGATTTTGGTTTTTGGGTGCCCAATGGTGCAGATTGTGCTGGTTCCACATGCCGTTTCTGGTGAACGTGCTTTCGTCAGTCCAACAAATTTGGACAAGAAAGTCGCTGTCCTCTTCAATTTTTCTCAGTAACCACTGACATTAATTAACTCTTATTATTTTATCACGCGATAGCACAGTATGTACTTTTCTTAACTTGAATGGGTGCCACTTTTCGTGCTTTAATATCCTATGGACGGTTCTGTGATGGTCTTGAAAATGCCTAGCACTCTGGCGGAGGCTAGTTTTGGGTTGGTCTTCGAAGTGTTGTATCACATTTTCAGTTAAGTTGATTGGGTATTGTCGTGTAGGCGGTCGATCAGGGCGTTGATACCTAGGATCCACTGGCCGGTTTTCGCGGATGCGCTAAAGAGCTCCTACAATAGTGCGAGAATGAGTAGGGCATTGTCTTTTATCGCCATATCTCTGGCGATATGTTCTAATCGCAAGGGCGGCATTTTGATGACATTTACTCCGTAAATTAGGATCATGTCCGCATATTCAGCTGCTGTGTAGTTCGGATGTGTATTTGCCATCACGATCACAGGTATTCACAGGTACACACACAAGCACTAATAACACAAATAAAAGCGTCCGTATCGCAAGAGATGTAAATGTACCAACTAGATTAGAAAAAAAACCCAAAACAAAGCGTTTTTATCGCAATACCATAACCTAATTACACAAAAATTAATAAATAAGATAATAGGTAAGTCTTTTTCGCGGAATTATTCACCAAAATATTAGTCGACCTAATTATGCGCACTGCTATGAACAAGTGTGTCAAGGACACGGGTTCAACTAGTACTAGAAAAGCAAAAAAATAATTCGATATCAGTGCGGCGGGGTGCTGGGGAGGAGCAGGTGTCTCCTGCGCCGACCGCTCGCCGACAAATCTTCTTTCCTTCAATAGTATTGCTTATTCGTTTTAATTTCGATGATGCAATGTTATGATCCGTGACCCCGGCAAATGACCGCTGCGCGACAGTTCTTTTAGTACAGGTTGCTCTAACATGCTATTTTCTAAAATTTTAAATAAATCCGTAAATAATAACGTTTAATGGAAATATAATTTCGTTATGAAATGAAAATGTTAAATTAAGTAAGTCGCCATTGTAGCCGCACGTTGTATATTCCAAAAAATTGTTCGAAAATTGCATTTCGTTTCCCCTCGGCACTTGCTGGATGACTGAAGCCCGCCAGCCAGACACGTTCAGCTATGCTTGCGCAAGCGTCCTGCGCAAGCATAACCGAGCGGTTAAAATATCAATTTCTATATTTTTAATTTTGCTTCCGCAGGCAAGAAATTAAGTCATATACACGTTTAGTTATGCTTGCACAGTTCAACTGTGTAAGCATAACAATCAGTTATAACATAGCGTATGTGGCTGGCTTTAGGATCAACTAGAAGAATCGCGTTATAGAGATTGTTATTCTTAATGTCCCGTTTGAATCTTAGCTTGAGACCCTCACCATCATCACTGGTAATTTCGCCTTTTGTTGTCTAATAATTCAATATTTAACTAAGGTGAGCTCATTAAACTAGCTACTAATGCCTTGCTTCAATGCACTTACAGCAAGAAGTTGTTTTAAAAAATGCCCTTAATTTTTTTTTTTGTCGAACTCGACACGCAGCTTATTGTTAGACACAGGCTAAATAAGAGCCGGTGCGTAATTGACATTGCGGTAGTTAATATTTTTCTTAACCCGGCGAACTCGTGCCCTTAAATGTTACGCAAGCACTCGCGTATACAGCATTTTGCTCACGCTAAACAAAGAGTCTTTTAAATACCTAAAACATAGCATGTGTTTTTTTTTGTTATAAAAATTTTTATGAAATTTCTTAATAATACACATTAGATTTTATGAATTAATTATTTATTGAAAGAAAAACAATGATATACGTTTTTTTTACGACATTAACATTTAGGTACTTACATTTGGCAGTCTTCTCATATAGGGTTTGGAAAAAAAAAATAAAAACTCAACCTAAAATTTCTTAAAACAAAACATAATATCTTAATCCTCATCATATAACCTAGACTTACACATATCACACAAAATTTTTGCATGTTCTGAACATAATTTTTTTTACAGTAAACACAAGCCTTTTTCGTTTTGCGATTTTTACGCCTTGGGCACACCGCACATATTCCAGGAGGTGTTTCAGTTTCGGGAACGTCTCTTTTGTTTGAAGATCGGGTTATAATCTGTTTAACCCTTAGATGCATGAATTTTTATTTTTGAAAGAATAAAATATATGTGTTAAAGCGTGACCTCCTGATCATAGGAAAAATAATAAAAAAAATTATATCTGTATATTAAAAGTTTTATTGGCAAAAAAAAGTTGTTATCAATTTTGATAAACTATGCATTAAGAAGTTTTTTGCTTAGTGATACTAGAAAACATAAAGTACCCAAGTTTTTATACTTAATGTTATTTTATTTTTACATAGCATGAAAAACTTGAAAGCAATTATTTTTTCTATTGTCACAAAGCGATATTTTGTACTTAGTACACATTACAGAAGTTAGTTTTTTGCAATTTGCATATTTGCACTGATTTCTCTTAGTGTTGTAGCTTTTGTCATGTCCAACTCCATCAGTACGGACGTCGTTTGGTGGTAATGTCTGTGCACCAATCTTTGGTCTCTTTTTTGACGTATTTTCCTGTCTATTCATGCTGGGTCTGCCTCTTTTATTTTCAGATACGGCCCCATACTTGCACAAAGTTTCAGCTAGCTCCGTCCGAAATTCAACAAGTTTTAAAATGTTTTTTGGATTTGTTTTCTTTTTCAGTGAAACTTTCTTGTATAAAATCCGGCTGTTTATTACCGCCATGTCCAGCATATGTTGGAATAGTCTATTGGTCCACTTCTTGGACTTCATTCGGATCCTATATCGCCCTAAATAACTATCCATTGTGTCCACACCCCCCATATGTGCATTATATTCTTCAATTACTTTCGGACATGGTATTGATATGTTTTTTTTCTGCTTCTTGTCATAGCGGCTAATAGTACCCACAGGATTTGCACCTACATACGTAGATAACAGCAAGACCTGTTTGTTATCCTTCCAGCTAGTCGCTGCAAACTCAACACCATCAAGAGAAGCAACATTCTCGTCGTACGAACCCCTTGGTACAGATGTTTTCTATACATCTTCCTTTTTTGGTAGCTTACAGGTTTTTCCTAATCTGTTTCTTTGAACTGTACCTAAGCAATATATGCCTTCCTTGTGCAAATGATGAAACAGAGTCAGGCTTGAATAAAAGTTGTCAAAGTACACTATATGATTTACTTTTCTCGGTACAGGTCGAAGCAAACGCACCACTGTATTTGAAACTGCTCCAAGATTTGGCTCATTTGGTAGTCTTTTGTAGTCATGAGTTCCTGAGTAAATTTCAAATGAATATGCGTAACCCATCAGACAACAGAGCACGTACAATTTGAAGCCCCATTTATGAGGCTTGTTGGGCAAGTACTGCTTCATAAAGTGCGAAATTTTAGTTGCGCACATCTGCTCATCTAATGAAAGTCTATGATCAAAAGGAACTGACATGAATCGTTGATTTAGGTGGTCCACTATTGTTCGTATTTTGTGTAATCTGTCATGTTCAGGATGTTCACGGGGTAAGTGACCTTCATTATCGTTAAAATGAAGAATTTCCCGAATTTTTTCAAAACGGTTAACGGTCATCGTATCAGCTATTGGATGGAATCTTACATTATTTGCCCAGTAGGACCTTATACTAGGATAGTGATATACCGAAGTATAAATCAAGATACCAATATATTTTCTCAGTTCCAGAACTGTCATTGGTTCAGAAAAATTAATATTTTTTTGTATGGCATATTTATTAGATTCAGTAACGATTCTTGCGAGTAAACTTTCATCAAAAAAGTATGAAAAATACTGATAAGGAGTAGATAAATTCATAATAATCGGAGGGTAGTCAGTACATCCAAGAAATGTAAAAGCCTGATCCACCAAATCCAAATTCTTCTTTTTCCATATCAAATCCCGTAAACTAGGAGTGGCGTTGGAATGGGGCTGGTTTTCTACTAGTTCATCAAATATTAGTGGAGGATCAGGGGCTGTCCCATCATTTTCGGTCAATATTTCTTCTAGTATTTGGTTCTCTCTTTCAAGATCTGCTTCCAACTCACCGACATTATCATAATAGTCTAAGGCATCCTCGTCTAGATCACTTTCATCTTCTGATACTTCTCCATTTTCTAACCGCCATAAGAGTGTCGAAATGTCTTCGTCATTCATTGTCCGCTGCTAGAAACCTAAAAACAAATATCTGTTTAAAAAAAACTTAAATAAAGAAACGAATCCGAAAAAAACATTAAAAAATAATAAACCCATATATCGAAAAAGTTTTACCGCTACTGCATACATTATCATTTTTGATAACAAACTTCAAGCCCAAAAATTTTACCAAATGTACAATTTTATTGAAAAATTAAAACATGGACACAAAATATAGATACTAACCTTCCAAAAAATAATTTTTTTATTAGTTGAACACACTTTTATTTGTAAGATTTCTTCGGATGAAAATTACGAATTCGTTTTACTCTACAAACTGTCTGCGCTGTCATCGAAACTTTAAACTTTGGACCAATCACATGTAAGTATTTGAATGAACCAATCACAGACGAGTCTATGACATATAACGACACGTTCAGAAATCAAAATTTCCGGTTAAACGACTTTCGTTCAGGAATTAGGAGTCTAGAAAACCGTATTATCAGTTTTGATAAACTATGCACTTAAGGGTTAAGGGGATATGTTATATTTTGCAAAAGAGCTTCTTCGGTTGATGTATTCTTGGGTTAGTGTGAGAGACAGCTTTTTCAAATATTCTCTCCTTGTGATCAAATTATCGCAATTCCGTGATAAATAATTTGACGATTGATACCTGCTATATTCAAAATGGAAAAAAAATTCTCAGTGGCCACCTACAGGCAACTCGAGCTACAGAATATTCTTCTTTCAATCTATCGACATCTACCCCTCCTTTGGTTTTATTGTAAAATATAATTATTTCAGGTTTTGCGTCATCTCCAGTTTCAGCATCGATTCGGTCGTCATTATGAAGAATACTAATGATAAGAACATTTTTTTTATTCTTTTTGTTTGGTATATAGGATACCTGAACTTTGCCTGTATGAAAACCAAAAATACTACTGGGCTTTGGTCTTATTTTAATATTCAAAAACATAGGTGGAATTTCCATTTTATTTTTGCGTATAGTGCCAACCAACGTAGTACGTTTAGTCAGCAATTCGTCGGCCAATGGAATAGATGTAAAATAATTATCTGCTGTAATATTTCTTCCAGAATTTAGAATATCTTTTGATAAACGAGTAACAACAGCAGATGGGGAATTATGATATTTGTACTGACCATTTGGTTGTTTCCCTGCATAAATCTCTAAATTACTCGTATAATATGAATGCGCATCACACAGTGCATACACTTTTATGCCATATTTGGATGGTTTGTTAGCAATATACATTCGGAATTTGCAACGACCCCGGAACGATTCTAACGTTTCATCTATGGTTACATTTTCTCCAACCTGATAGTTAGCCCGACACTTTTCGACAAATAAATCAAATATTTCACGAATTGGTGCAATATTGTCACACTCAGATCTCTCCTGACGAGTCTGCATCATCAAATCGAATGCATCTCATCAAAAACATAAATCGGTTGCGATTCATGACAACTCGATATATATCAGGAGCGGTACCATCTGTCTCCCACATTTCTTTTAAATTTAGCTGATTCATTTTCTTTATACCAGCCATGTACAAGAGCTCAATAAATGCTTTTATCTCTATGATATCCATCTCTTTACAGTCTCTGTCTCTTGCATAACGGTCCATGATTTTTTAATGTAATTATTTGTGTAAAAAACAATTTTAGTAAGCATGTCCTCACTTACAAAAAGGAGAAAACATTCAATAATATGTTTAGCGCCTTTGGCTACTGGTTTTACCCCTGGTCTACTGTCAACTATGTTATGTGACCTTGTTCTTATATTGGTACGTTGTGGACGATAATTCCACTTGGTAATTTTATCCTTGCCTAAGTAATATAGACCGTTCTTTTTTATGAATTGACGTGTAGGTTACTGGACCAAGTAAAGGTTTAACATATTTATTTTTAGAATAACTGCCATTTTCAGAGTTAAATAAATTATCCATAAAAAAAGAAAATCTGCAGTCTCCTTACATTACTCAGGAAGAATGCCTTTATCTGAAAGTAAATAAAAATATTTATTGTTATATGTATAAATAAATATGCTTTTGAGTTTTAAAAGTAAAAGTTACAGTTGTTGCTTAAAATGCAATTGAATTATCTCACATATTCAATTTTACATTCTAAGGTCTTTGAATTGTATAAGTTTATATATTTTTATATTTGGGTACAGATTCATTAAAGTGCAACATATTTATTAACTATGTGCTAGGTGGTGAAGGAAATCATTGTAAGAAAACCGTTTTTTTTTTTTTTCAAAAATTAAAACTGCTTCCAATGAATGAACCAATTAATGAAATTGTAGAAATAGTTTATTTGCTAGCTCGGATACATGTGAAGTCACAGAAGTTAGGAGGCCTGTGCCCAAAAGTAGGATGTATAAAGGCTCAATTTTTTGTTATGTGCGAGCTATGCAGGTCTAGATAAAGATACCAGTATCGCTGCGATCTAAAAGATCTATTGTGATCGCTGCTATGGCTATAGTTGCTATGTAGCTAATGTACTGAGTGACGTCATCCAAGTTGCCACTAATGTGACTGCTATTTGAATTGATTCTTAGTTATTGCAAATTAAATATTTTATTTCATAACACTAAAATGACGTTATAAGTTTATATGAATTTTTTGATGTAATATGAGTCATAATTTATAAATATATAATAATTCATAAAAAAATTAAAATATAGTTTTTATAATTATACAATTAAACGATCATGCATATTTTTCCTATTATTATATCGTAAAAAATTTCAATCTCAGTATTCAGTATCAAATATATTAATAAACCAGTAGAAAAATAATATAAAAGAAAATTAATATATTTAAATTTCTCTTCTTATTGTATATTATTTCTAAAATTAAATATATTTAGTATTGTACTCGTACACTGTAGTGTAATGACGGCGTAAGAGAATTCACAACTCAATATCATCCCGTGCATAGATTACTGTTAGTGTTGCCAGGTCCGATTTGTTTTAAATCGGTACATAAAGTAAAAAGTAAAGTTACAGCCTATATACGTCCCACTGCTGGGCACAGGCCTCCCCTCATTACTGAGAGGGTTTTAGGGCAAAGAAGTGTCCGCCGTGCTGCCCCAATGCGTGTTGGCGAACTTTACATGTCTTTGAAATATTTTTTTTTATTCCTCAGACATGCAGGTTTCCTCACGATGTTTCCTTCACCGCCGAGCACGTGGTAAATCAGCACTTAACCCTATAGTTGGCAAGAATATTTTTAGTAAATATTCGTTGTTCTTGCTATATATATATATTGGATTTTGGAGTTGTCAAAAACATATAGAAAATATAAAAAAATCCAACATATATAATTTTGGAAATATAGCATGTGTATTTAAATGCACATTGCTAGCTTTGTCGAGTTTAGGCTACCATAAAAGCGTGTGTCTTTAAATGCACATTGCTAGCTTTGTCGAGTTTACGCTATCAAAAAGTGTGTGCATTAAAATATACTTTTCCATGTGCAGGGTTAAATAAAACATGCTTTATTTTTATCCAATCAATGTTTTATTAATATGAAATATATTATAAAAACTATCTGTTTTGCTTATATTGCCCATATTATTATCATAATCATTTAAGAGATCAAAAATAAGTAAAAAACATCAACAAATTCAACTTTTACCTTTAGATCAAGTCGAATCTATATTATCTTTGTTGTTAAACAATTATCACAAACTAAAGTTACAACTATTTATCTATTAAGTATCGTATGTTTATTTATAAAGAAAAAATGCTACTAAAATAAGAGATCAACAATCAGTATTAAAGATATCAACAATCGTAATCTTTAAATCAAGGCATCACATGGTAAATAATGCTAAATAATCATCACAAATTAAAAAAAAATAATATTTTATATAGATTAAGGACTTATAAAAAATGTAGTTAAAATTAGGTTTAGTAAAAAAATTGGGCTGACTTAGTGTGATAATCAAAAAAACAATTACGACCCTCTACTAAACAAAGACGTACATTACATTCCACACATATGAATTTAGTCTGACTTTTTACGCATTTCTTGCATCTGCCTTTACTTGCAAAAGACGGCATGTGCCCAATTTGGTCCAATCGGCCATGGTCAGATGTTTGTGGTGTGACAAAATGCGCACCTCTAGAAGCATTAGCAATCTCCTTTGTTCTTTGAAATGTGTTGAGATCATTACTTATGACACATCGAAAAACTTTGAGTTTCATTTGCTGTTTACCTTTGTTTTCACGACGATAGATGAGCCATGCATTATTAACACATATGTCAAGAAGCTGTGAGCATAGAGGAATATACCAACGATGTGCTCGCATTTCAGTCCGATAAAGTGCAACAAGCATATCTGCAAGATCCACACCTCCCGTATTATTGTTATATTCTTTAATTATGTTGGGACATGTAACAGGGTTTCTGCTTTTTGTGTTTTTGCAATATCGCAACACTTGTTGCACTGGTTGGGCCCCTGGAAATCGGGACATTCCGAGAGATTCCGTGTGTTGTAAGAAGCGACAGAGATAAACTAAAACATGAGATATGTAGCAGCTTCTTCAGAAAAAAAAACGCTGCGGTTTCGAACCCGCCAGACATACTAATGCATGCAAATATTCCCATAGTACCACCAATCTTTAGCAATGGACTTAGACGATGATAAAATGTGCTTAAAAATAAATTATTTGATTAATATTACAATAATGTATTTTAAAGACTCGTATAATATCTAACCTATTTTTTTCTATTTAGTAACGGTATATATGTTTATTAAAAAAAATATTTTTGTAACATTTGTAAAAAAAAATAATAAGATTCTTTAATCTTACTTTTGAAACTCTATGGTTCAATTTATGCGTATCTATCATTACATATCATTGATAAATTAGTTAAAACGCACGAATAAATAAAATTTGTAACAATAATTAAATATTTAACCCTTCTTGGTAAGTGGTTTATAGAAGAGGGGGCAAACGATTATTTCTTTTAAAAAGTTTACTTCTTAACTTTTTGGCT